GGCAATTTTATATTTATACTATTGCTATTTCAGGATTCGCGCGGTTTCGCTTTTCTTCTCATTCGGCGTTAATTCTTATTTATTTGTATTTTTCATTTGTTCTCGAAACCATTTAATCGCTTGCTTATTCATTCTTCTGCGTCAATGTGTGCTGAGTTTGGGCCACTTTTTTAGTGTCGTTTATTATGATCATATTTTTTATGCTTAATTTTTGCTGTTTTGCATATTTCGTTGGTTGGGCTGCTGTTGCTGCTACTTCTGCCGTTTATAATATGGTCGCGATATTTATGCGCATATGTGCGTGTGTGTTTTCACTCTCGTTAATAATTTTTTTTTTCGTCGCTCGTCTCTGAATGATAATGACCTTTTTTCGCACTATATTCAGCACACATTTGAGAATATCGCTGTGAAGTTTGCCTCTTTGAAATTCGTTTGAGTTTTCAGTGGACTTAAGCTGAAGATTTGTGATGGTTGTGAATTAACCAAAAATTAATATGCAAAATGCCCGGGCTCCTGATACTGCTCACAAAGCGCTTGAACAAAACGAGCAGAAAAAAAAATAGGAGCTAATAAAGAAGTGACGACGAAGACAAAAGACACAAAATATAATAACAACGAATAAAAATGAATAATATAATATTAATAATAGCCATAATGCACACAAAGAACGCATATAAATCAAGTGAATGAATTTCAAATCCGCTGGAAAAAGACAACAAGACGGCACAGTTTCAGTGCACACTCTTAAACACAAATTGGAGCCAAAGATGCGGGACAACGCAACTCAACAATTTGCTAATTCATGACAAGTAAAGCAAGACCATCGCAGCTAACTGCAAAATTAAAGCATTTTTTTTTATTCGTTCAGATCGTTGGCTTTCTTTAATCGCTTAGAGAGGTGTGCACTGTGTATACTAGCGAAACACTCCAATTCAAGCATTTACGGACATAAAATCGCTTTATGAAGAAAAAAAGATCAATAAAAGTGAACAGAAATTTTTGAATAGAGGGAAAGTATAATTTCGTATTCTTGAGAATACGAATTCACAAGATTGTAAGACTATCACAAAAAAATATCTATCACAACAGCAAATATGCTGTACCACAGTTTGCCATTTGATTTAAATATGAACAAAAGATTCAACCAGAATGCGAACTGTACTTCCAAGAGCGAACGTCTGATCTATGGCTACTGCGCTCAAGCGACGAAATGAAGAGTTTTGTTTAAAGGTGGAGATCACAGAGTTGACTATAAATTTCTAGGTGTGACGTTCATGAAATATCGCTGTGAATACGTTTGAGTACATACGAAGTTTATGGTTCATGCTGTTCGGGAACTTAATTAAATTTTAAAAGATTACCATTTAAACGGATCGATATTGACATCATCCATAAACAGAATAAACTACTCAATAAATCAGTGCTGATTCATTCGGTTTCTGGTTGTTATAGACGTTTTTTATGGGATTTTTCGCTTTGTTTTAGTATATTGATGAAACCAAACACAACCTCACAATATGAATAGCGTGGTAAACCAAATTCATCTCACTCCAACTTGAAACAAATCTACAAACACTTACAAAAAATCTACCGTCCCATTCGAAATGAACTTTTTTACGCGCATTTTTTTCGGTTTTGTTTTGTTGCATTGAAAAAATATTATGACAAATGTGCATTCTTATGTAGTTTTGTGTTTCATTCGGGAGAGACTGGGATTGCAACCCTCGGCGCTGTTTACAAATTCCACAATTATTCGACTCATTGATTCGATCGAATTTCGAGTGTCGTATCACAACGGTCGTGTAAATTTATTGAAACACAGCAATTATTACACTCCCATTCTTTACAGATAGTAATTGTAACCGTGGATGAATTGCATTACAAGCATTTATGTGGGAATGAATGAGAATGATGGATATGATTTGATGGTTGGTGTTGAGTGGTTCCACGAATCACACAACCAACGCAGGAGATTCTATTGTGATTCGGTGCAGAACCCTCTATCAACACGAATCTCACCCTAAATTTCCTGTATCATAAAACGGAGAAAAGTAACGAAAAGCCCGATAACCGACAAGAACAAACTGATAATTCGCTTGGATTGTTTATGTTTTAATCATTGTTTTGTGACTGTTGGAAAACATTGAGAAAGGATAATTAATTTGATGAAAATCAGTTGATGTTAAATTGCGTGAAGAGCGCCGACATTGAATATTTTTGCCTGTAAAAAGTCAGCCACCAAATTGCTGCATAGTTTGAATGTGCACATTCTTTGTGATATTATCAACTCAAAAAGTGTTGAAAATGTCCCTCCGTCTCTGGTTTGGGTTGGCTGCTAGAAGAAAATTTGCAACGTCCATTGAACGTGAACGGTAGTCGGCCAGAGTGGCGGTAATCTGCGTGCAAGCACGGTATTTAAAGGGGAAAATCTCAAGTGTTCCAGACTTAATCGAAAACGAAATTAAATCGTTCTTCAGAGGAGAGCACACACGCTGAGAATGGGAGAATTAAATCCAGGTACTTGAAATTGGTGTGCATGGATGAAGAGAAACAGCAGCGGCGGCAGCGGTAGCGAACAGCAATGCCGGCAGTAACACGAAAATTACATGGTGTAAACGCGGCTGATGATGACTTGTGAACTAAACATCATAAATTGAGCCCAAAGATACAGATATTGGCGATGTGGAAAGCATTAGATTTGCGATCTGCGGAAAGTTACTCGATAGAGAGAAAGAGAGATAGACAGAAAAAAGGGGTCGAATCCAGCTTGCTTGTCGAAAGATTAGTGATGCCGACATGACGAGTACCCCAGCAAATATGCTCGTAAAATAACAGTAATCATTGTAAACATGCGAGAGAGAAAATTCATTCACCAACGAGAAAAGTGTTTTTTTTTGTGGTAAATCGGCTTTTGATGTGTGAAACTCTTGATGAGCATTTTAATTTATTTATTATGTGAATATTGTTTGACGTGCGCTCTAAATCACACGCACCACACGCATTGGCCGCTTCGATTATCCCAAGCTTCAGCTAAAACGAACCATAATGTTTATTTGTTGTTGTTTTTTCTGTTTCATTCCATTGTGTACGTTTTTCAATTTGATTATTTAATTGGGGCCGCCGATTATCGAGATTTATTCATTTTTCATAACTTACAAATACAAAATACATGAATGACAAACCACGTCCCGAATGTTGAATGAAATTCAGTTCGATTTTATTATCACTTTATCTTGCGGGCGTGAATGTGTGTTTGTGTGTGTGTGTGTATGCACATATGAATGCCACCTCTTGTTATGCTGTCAGCATAATCTAAATGGTCACAAACTAATTAAATCAAATTGTTGATTCAACAATGGCCAAAGCATAGATTTTCATGAGGATATGTTTGTATATATTTAGCAACAAGAATAAAGAATGGCGGCAAACATAACAAAAACAATGCTAAGCAAAATAATATTTGACAAAAAAAATTCATTACAATGATAATAATAAGCGGTAATAATGGCAACTTGATTGCTGTGAATGAATATTTGATATCCGCGACAGTGTTGACGGCGATGAGAAGAAGCACACACAGGGAAATAGACAATACTCATGACAATGGCGAAAAAAGTGACGCTCAAAATGAATGAATGAATAAATAATTAAAGTGATTGAAGTGATCATTGGACCTGTATGTTCAAACACCCAAGCGCTAATGCTCCAAAACGTAACGCACGTGAACGCCGATGATGATGAACGGTGATAAACAATACTCGAATCGATAGCTAATCACGTTGTAAAATGAACGAAGAAATTCCATACGAGCGAAGAATAAAAGAAAACAAATGTTCATTCTTTTATATGCATTCACCAGCGGTTTATGATACCTCGAAAGCAAACAGAGCCAAACCGTCGCTTGGAATTCGATGTGCTTGTGCCATTATGTGATTTTAGGTTTACAGCATCTTTGATCAAAAACCGGTTCCGAGTCCATTTTTTTCGCGCTATCTGAAATATAAATATACAGACTACCGGAGATACTGTTCAAGAAAATTGGTTCGATCGTCAGGATTTTTTTTCACAATATCAATAGATTTTATTTTTTTTCACTAATTATGTATAATTTTTACTGTCTAAATGCTTAAAGAATAGTAAAGAAGAAAGAAGTCAAAAGAATACACTGTTTTTTTCTTATGAAGAACTGAAAATTGGCTAAAAAAAATTGTTACCATTCATATGAATAAACAAATAATAATACTGCCATCCCATTGTTTTTCCTCATTTTCATATCATTTGTGAGCGATTTACATCGATTCTTATCACATTTTAAATTCAAACACAAGAACAACACAAATCTGTTACTACGCTTCCTTTCGTAACGAGAAGTTTGTTTTATCGATATAATTAAAATATTGTTTTTTTTTGTGGTGAATGTGATTTTTTTGTTTGTTTGTTTGTTTCATTCTTTCTTTTTTTTTTAAGCTTTTGTTCTTTTTTTTCGAGGAATTTTTTTCGTTTTGTTTGTTCATTTTCACACTTTCGTACACACCTCATGCTATTAGCTTTTATAGTCTAGTTTAGTGTAAACATTTCGATCATTTAATTGATCGTCTTCTTGTTCTAATGATTTCGTGATTATTTGCTTTGGATTGTGTCTAAGGGTGTGGATGTGTGTTTGTTCGTGGCATATGTTTTGTTTTGTTTTGTTTTTTTCTTTCGAATTTGTTTAAAATTTTGTGTTCTCATTCAAAATATAAAATAAAAAGTAGATTTATTTATTTTCTCTCAAATATATATAATATGTTACATAGCAATTATTACTTAACCGTTTCTTTCTAGAATAATAAAGATTTTTCGTTACGTTCTAATAAATTGTGTTCGTATAGTTTGTTACTTTTTTGCATTCATTTTGAAACTAACTTGTTTTTTGTTTGCTGTTCGCTTTCGAGAAGTTTTGCTACTTGTATCAATTTTAAATAATCAATTAGATAAAGTATGTGGATAATATAAATGGATTTTGTTTTTTGTTTTTTTTTTCATCTCCTGCAGTTTGATTTACTCAATCGTTTTTTTTTACTTTTTCTGTCTCTCAGGGTGCAATATTCAATAATAATTGTTAGAATAATGATAATCAATTAATTTTAAGAATGTAAATCTATTTTTATGCAGAATTCAAAGACTGTTCGACAAGATCCAAAAAAATGTTGGGTATTTTGTAAGATTCATTTGAAGCTTGAATAATACTGTCTTGCGAATAGTTTTTAAGTCCCGAATAACAATAATGATATTTACTTTGTTTGTACAACGTCTTCCGTAACGTTCGACAGCAAATGACAACAACGACGAGCACATTTCATGTATGAATGTTGCCAGTTTTTTTTTTAATTTCTACTAACGTTTTGTATGGATTTGTTTCTCAGTGTTTGTTTATTTGTTCCTCTTTCTTTGTGAAGATCATGAATGCTGATGGAACAATTTTATCTAGACAAAAACCAAGTGTTCTCTTATGGAATCATTTTGTTCAATTAACAGTCAATTGGTGAATTTCAGTAAATTACTTGTACCGGTCTTCGTATATCCATAACGTCCATATTTGATGTGGTTGTGTTGCCGTTGGTTTGAGTATTGTGACTACCGTTTCCGACGCCGGGACTTGAGCCAGGTGATGTGGATGATGTAGATGACGTGTAAATACTGTTGGCTGCATGGGCTGCATATAATGGTGCAGCGGCGGCGGACATACCGGAATAAATGCCCGAATAAAATGAACCCAACGAGGTTGGAGGTAACTGTGGCGCTTTTTGTGCTTCTAATGCGGTTGGCTGTACGCTACCAGCATTTTGTGATTGATGGAACTTTGACAAAGTCAATGGATCAAAACCGCTGAAGTATGGATACTGTTCAAGGGCATGCGATGGAGCAAAGTATGGTGGTACTGATAACTGATGGAATGGATTGTATGAAGCACTAATGTGACCCTTGCCAGCGCTTGAAATGCCACCCAAACTCGATAAACCAACGGCACCATTTGCGGCTGACAATGGATTCTTTGGTTTTCGTCGTGGCCGATATTTGTAATCGGGATGATCTTTCATGTGTTCGGAGCGTAAACGTTTTGCTTCATCGATGAATGGACGTTTGTCGTCCTCAGTCAATAGTTTCCATTCGGCGCCCAAACGTTTTGAGATTTCGGAATTGTGCATTTTTGGATTGTCTTTGGCAATTTGACGACGCTTCAAACGAGACCACACCATAAATGCATTCATTGGCCGTTTGATGTGACCATCACCGCCTGGAGACATTTGAACACCGTTTAAATTGTTATTTGGTGGCGATTGACCCATGCTCGATGAGTGAATCATACCATTTGCCGATTGATAGTTGTTCGGTTCACGTTTGATGGACAAATGATCATTGGGCGATTGCGACGGTTGCGGTGCATAATCGCCGTGCTGTGGCATTTGTAATCCGCCAGGCAGGAAACCGTAGTGTGGATGCGTTGCCATCATCATGGTTTATCTTTTTATTCAAAATTTACAGCTCAAAAATAATGGAACAATTCTGATTTTGGTTCAACACTTGAATGAAACTTTTTCGATCTTGATGTTGTCACGTGTTCTTTTTTGTTCAATTTTTAGCAAACTTGTTCTTCTTTTGCACCGAAATTTTGTGGAAATTTTTCTCTGTTTTATTTTTCTATTTCACAGTTTCACACTTTCAATATGTCAATTAATAGTCTGATATTGTTGAGTAATTATTTTTTTCTCTTTCGCTTGCCTTTCCAAAACTCAAACTTGTACACAAACCAAACGGAAAAATATAATGCATAAAATTCACAATTAAAATCAGTGACAAAAATTTCGTCTGCGCAGAATTTTAGCAATAATTTCCCCGCGGGCGCTTTATCTTCTTTTTCTTCAGACGGACGCACGTTTCTGTTTAACGGAAATGTACTTTTTTTTCGTTCAAAGTATTGTTGATCTATGCTTTCTCAGTGCACATACAATTCTTTTTATTACTTTTTATCTTTGCTGTTGTGTCTGTTTTCTTTTTCTACTTTTATTATATGCTGTGTCGATTTTTTTTTTCTTCAAATACTTGGACTGTTTTGTGGTGTTGTTTTGTTGTGTCTCGCTCCAAAAAATTGTGTGTGCTCACTGTTTGAACGTTTTTCTGTAACTGATTGAACAATAAAAAATATCTCGTTTACCTTCTGTTTTCCAGCGATTCACAAAACAGCACTGACACACAACGAAACACGCACACTCTTGCACATGAACATACCCAAACGCACTCATACCATTACATGCGCGGTGGCAACAAACACACCCAATGCTGCTTGGTATTTGCTGTCCGTTTGAGTTGATCATCGGTCTCTCTTTCGCACACCTTACACTGGATATGGCCCTTTGCGTGCGATCATCGATGGAATGATTCGAATGTGCGCGCACGTACATGTATGTGTACTCTTGTCACATGGAGATCACGGTATGCGTTTCAGAAGAAGGAATTAGGCCTGAGGAAATTGAGACACCAATGGAACGCCAACATCGATCCCGATCTAAATTCATATTGAAATTATATGTGCTAGCGTTCCGCATTTTTGTCCATAACATCTGAAAATGACGAACATGGATTTGTTTTATTTCATTTTCTTGACCAGAAAAAGCAAATAATCAATCTATGAGTTGGCTAACGTTAAGGCTCCAAAACTGCGCTAAAAATACGACATCAGTCGCTGTATTTCGAATAAAATTCGTTGTTTTTGATACAAAAAGATGTTAAATGCATTGTAGCCTATGATAATTGCTGTTCAAACAAAAGCCACACAATGCACAAGATAAAGAAATAAATGAGAAAACAACATTCAAGATTGACAATAGCAAAAGAGGAAAGAAATAGAGGCAATGAGAGAGTGTTTGTTGTGAAAAGAACGGGGAAGTCTTTGTATAAAACCACCACATGCGTGTAAGGTCATCGAATGTTATAAAATGCTATAATTTCAGCCCAAAGCTTGCCTTGGTTGGTGCGCTCCGTGCTGTGCAAGCTCTAGCTCAGCTGTACGACGGTTGTGTGTGTCTGTATGCGGATGTGAGCGTGTGTGTGTGTGCGCAGCAGAGAGTATGGAGTATCGATTCAGTTGGATAAACAAGAAACTGGCTCCGCCTCTTAATATGGTTTCCATTCTTTTAGCATTAGATTGGTGCTGTGCACTGAGTTCGTTCGTATGAGTTTGTATTTAAATGGTTTTCTTCGCATATTTATAACACCGCCTTTGTTTCGATGCACGAACGAATGGAAACGGCAAGTGTAGGAGCGAATGGAACAGCAGTATATGCGTGAGTGATCCATCGGTCGATGAAGAAACATTCACAAACCCGTTCACAAAATAAATGCTCACCGCAATCATTGTTCATGGTTGGTCGTGGATGCCTTCGCAACGCTAGAAAACACAACCAAACGTTGTGCATTTTGAAAGAGAAACACACGCCGAGTTCTGAGCAGAAATCTAACGGCAGGAAAAAAACACGAAAAACAACGACAGTATTGATTAAACATGTGATCATTTTTTGATGCATCTATTTTTTTTTTTTTTACCAAAAACTTTTCAATTCAGGCAAAAATCGAGAATCGTAGTAAAGGATGAATGGAAGCCAGTTGCAGCAATTGCACAAAGGCTTATCTAGTTTTTCAGTGACAACTTTGTGTCCCATACACAATTAGATGAATCAATGAAGCTCAAAAACATAAATTGCGATTACCTGTATGGGGAACATTGCCATATTCTGAATAGCACATTGAAAACTTTCGAAAATTTGTGCGTTGCCTATTCGAATGCTTGGTGAAATTAGGAAATTAAATGATCATTTGTATGCCCGAAAAATTTTCAGATTTGTGGAAAGACTATTAGAATATTCAAATTATACAGTTTCAATTGACAAATGTCACGCTTCAAAAGGAAATGATAGAAAATGTTATAAAACCGACAGCAATTCAATATATGTGAATGATTTTGTTTTTTTCCTAATTAAGATCCTATCTAGAGCCGTTGTGCAAGTAATTTCAAAATAAATTCCGTATTACAACAAATGAAAATTGAACTCATTTCGTCCACATCGTTGCTTTGGAATAAGATCTTTGAATGATACATAAAGTGACACCATTTGTTTGTGCTGTAAAGTTCCAGTGTTTGTCTTTGTCAAACGTTTTGGCGTCCACATATCGCTATTTGGGTGGCTCTACATAACAGCACTTACGTGTGCGAGAGATTTGAACTAATTTTTCTATTATATTATCACACCGTTTAGTATAAAAGTAAACAAAGGCGTATGTGCACACAAACGTCACGAATGTCTTGAAAAAAAGTGCAAAAAAATAACAAGTGAGGTGAGGTGAGGTGAAAATGACAGGCATATCATATATACCATACAACCACCGACTAAAAACTCCCATCAAACGAGAGAGCGTTGCTACACAATCAAAGTTCGACATGGTTCTGGTTGTGGCTTTGATCTCACGGCACAATTTCTGCTCACAAGAATCTAATTACCACACAGACAACATTACGAACCTGCCCATTCCTATGTGCAATTATGCAATCATGGCATTCACAAAGAGAAAGAGAGAGATTGTTTTTTTCTTTCTCAGCACGCTTCGAAGGACACATATGGCTTATTATTTGATAAAGTCCCTCTTCACAACAATTATTATTCCAAAAGCTAGATCTCACATCTACAAACTGGAACATTTAAATGCGCTGAATGGAGGCGTTGTCACTGTTGAAGTTTTCGATTTGTTTTAATCCTATAAGTCAATTATGTGCGATTGTGTACCGGTTTCATACTGAAAAACCAATTGGTACATCGAAATTCCAAGAACATCAATGACCCTGAAATTGTAACAGTGTCAATTCAATTTACAGTGCCATGCAGCGACTCCTACTACAAAGTTTGAAATCAACGATGGCGGTCGCAGTGAGCAATTTTTCGCTCGTCTATCCATCGTAATCCCATAATTAAAATTCGAGTGTCAATTGAAATTCACGTGTTTGCTGCGTTTTTTCTTCTTTCTTCTGTGAAACGCAGTACATCGCAGAATATGAAGAAAAAACAAGTTTTACAATAAATGGGACTTGTTGGGAATGAATCAAAATCCAGGCGAGAAGCAGTAAAATGCACGAATGATAAAATATGAGCAGCAAATGAAGAACGACAATTGAACAAAACACACTCAAAGTTTCAGGCGTACAGGATGAATTTGACGTTGCAACTGCCAGAGAGAAATGTTGGTGGCGTGGTGCAAGTCGCGCGTAACAGACGCAAAAGAGTGGAAAAGAAAGGAAGAAAAAAGAACGCATGTTGTAATTTTGTCCAGATTACGCGCAATAAGAAAGCAAGAGCCTGAGTGCTCGCCAAGCGTTGCATTTGCTAAGAATAAAGAGAAAGAAAAAAGAGGCGATGCAATGGTAAGTGGATGTCGATTGTGCCGGTGCGTGCATTTGGATTCATAGCGATGCACTATCGCTTACTTTGTTTACTGAATTGAATTCACGACAAAGCCATCGCTTCACAACCGATCTCATGCACTTTTATCGTAATGGGTTTTACATTTTGCGTTTTGCAGCCTCCACCAATGTTTATGTTGTCACCGAATGTGTTATGGTGTCGTGAGTGCACATTATTTTTGCATCGTTTATCTTTAATTAAAAATTATGTAGAAAACTTGGTGCAGAAAAAAACCCTGTCATTTGTCTGCAAAATGGGAAATAAAACGAACGCAAAAATAAAGTGTGCTGCGAGTGAATGGGAAAACTTGCCTGTTCAAGTCTGTTTTTGCAATGGCTGCTGCACTTGGGAGTTCTGTTGTGTGTGTTTTGCTCATTTGTGAAATATCATCTACTGGACATATTCCTGTTTAGCATACACCGAGTGCACAATCGATCCTTCGATCGCTTTAATTTCTAATTATTTACTCATCCCATTTATTCTGTGTATGTTTAATATTTATTCAGACTTTTGCATCGCCCACATCGATTATTATTGTTAACAATATATATTTATATTATGTATTTAAAATTTGTTTTTAATTTTTCACCCATTTTTTTTCGGTGAAATTTCGAATATGCAATTTGAATTTTGTGGCTGAAAAACTGCTTGGGATTCAGATTTAAATATAAATTTTTCCACTCAATTACCAGTCATCAATTGATTGCGCATTGCAGGCCAACGAACATACCGCCTAGCAAATATGAAGCATTTCGAATGTCTGTCAAGAGTATTCAAACAGCGAAATTTATGCATTTGAATTGGAAGCAAAGCGACAATAGTGTATGCGTGTTGGTATGTGAGAGTAAGAGAGAGAAATGGCCATGTTCGGGGTTGTCTCACTCCAATTCTACCATTAAATGCAACACGATGAAGAAGCGATGGCCAACGATATCAGGTTTTTTTATGGGTATATATCGCAGAGCAAAAAAGCAATATAAATAAATAATTTTCAATTAGCTGAATTTGTTTATCGACTGTTGAACATCGCAATGGCATTCGATGCCATAAAATATCACATATTCATGCGAATGGCATTCCCGTGCCTCGTGAAAAGATAATAAATTTAAGTGAATAAATACTTTGATTTAGGAGATCACACATAAAGAAGAGAAAACATACGAATGAAAATCGTACGTACGTTGTTCATGGCATATAAATGGCCGAACCGTATGCAGTAATTCCACTGCATTCAAAATTGACGTGGTAAAAGTATTCTGTATCACCATCCAAAAATATTACAGCGCACATTGCAACCTAACGTTTCGATGCAAATGCGCAACAAATTGGCTTGTCCATGACTGGCTTGTGAAAATTAGAGCTCAAGCCACAATATGTTTACATAAGCTTCTGTTATTCGGGGCGTATATCGTCTTAAAATAATGAAATTATGGCAAAAATTACGAATTATCCCTTGAATAAACAAACATTTGACACCGATGTTGGGAGCGTACTCCTTCATCTAAGACATATAATCACCGAAACACTTCACTCATGTTTGGTTGCTTTCAGCTTTGTCTCTCAACAAATTTGCCGCTCGTGTGTGTTTGTGTGTATACGCGCATACGGAAGTGAGTGCGAAGTAAAATGCATAAAAAGTAAATAAAACCCAACAAAGAGGTATGCTGTGA